TTTATATCTCTGTTACACTACACTGAGCACTATTTTGATTACCCCAAAAATTAAACAAACATTAATTTGTAAATCTGTATATGAGCGTAATTGCAAGCATATATGGTTGTTCATACTTCTTTATTTAATTCATTCATTCATATATATATATATATATATATATATATATATGAAAATTTCTCAGAGTTAACCTGTAGAAAAGACAATATTTATAAATATAAATGACAATAGGAAAACTGTAGTAGTAGCTGACGCATTTCGTCCAATGTGGACTTTCTCAAAGCAAAAAACGAAATGAATTTATTTAAACAAAGTAACTAATAATAACAAAAACAAAATGTCCTTAGCACAGCAATAATAACAATATCTCCACACGTGACAGTAATTGACGTAATTTTCAATTAACAATATGAAAATAGCGTTCTCTAAATTCTTCCAGTTTCTAAGGACATTTTGTTTTTGTTATTATTAGTTACTTTGTTTAAAAAAATTTATTTCGTGTTTTGTTTTGAGAAAGTCCACATTGATAAAACGTGTCAGCAACTACTACAGTTTCCCTATTTGTCATATATATATATATATATATATATATATATATATATATATATATATATAGCGGAATATGCGTGTAAAAGCGAAGAATTAAATTAATCTTCAACACAGATCTAGAAATTTTAATAATTTTTATTTTTATTCAAATTGAAAAATAAAAAGAATTACACATTAAAAATATTTTTATTTCTGTTCTTAACAGAGGAAATATTGTGTAAGTATGTTGGTGACGGAGAATGTGCTTAAAGACGTGTGTGTAACTCTGTCATTGTTCTATGTGCCGGTGTAAATTCTACTAGTAATTTCCAGTGCGAATGCACAACAGGCGAGTGAAAAGGAAAGTGAGAGTAGTGGGTGTGTTATATGTGCTACCGTTGACACATAAACAAGTTAGAAGTATGTCGTCGCTAAATGTAATTTTTTATAATGCTGAATACTTTAAATAAATAAGCGAAAGATGAGAGTAATTAATGGCGAGAATTTCAGTTCTGTTGCATGACAAACGATCGAACAACACATTGGTCAAGTTAACTGAAAGACTAATTTTGCAAGCGAAATATTTTGATATTTTATTTAGTCTTGTGAATAAAACCGGCTCGGAAAGATCTAATTTTTTTTTTAAAATTAAGCGCGTAATAGTGTTTAATGAATAATTATGCTAATTTAAATATTCCTTTTAATGAAGAACAAATATTGTTGATATATTCTGAAGTTGATCCTCCAAAATTTTTGATCTAAGATATTTTATCGTCTGCTAATTCAAAGAAAACCACGCGTCTCGTTCGACGTCGCTGTTTGGTTAATGTGAATACAAAGAATCAAATATTTGGAGCCGGAAAAAAAAAATGAGTTACTTTCTGTGTGATGAATTTTCAGTACATAAATCTATTAGCATTTTTCTACAATTCTAAAACGGTTTTCACAGACACACAGACACACGCGCAGATGCACACATCAAGCTGAGGCACAAAAGAGGGACAAAATAAAATTGTTACAGTTTTTACAGATGTAGGAATTTTTGCGAGATTTTTTTCAAAAGAGGTGGAAAATATTTTAAAGATTTTCTGTTCAAAAGCATTTTCTAATTGATGAATGTTTAGTTACTGTGATGGATGCTGGATGACGTTCGCTACTTGAAATTTTTCACGACTTTCTCCAACATATCATTCGGAATTCTCCTGATTTCTCTCTTGATGGTTTCTTTCAGCTTGTCAATTGTGTCTTGGTTTCCTTCATGCACCTTCTCCTTCAGGTTACTCCAGAGAAAGTAGTCCGGCGGGCTCATATCTGGAGAGTAATGCGGCCATAGATTGTCGGTCCTCTTCGAAATTAATCGGTCGCCTGGAAAGTATTATGTTGTGCCATGGTACCTATTCTTTGGTAATGGACTCTCCCATATATAATAAGGAGTAGCAGTGGCAAGTCTGCAGAATGGTGTTGAGAACGTCAGTCGAGATTCGGAAATTTGAAGTACCAACCATCACAACTAGATTTGCTGCGTCATTGACTATTATTTTCCAAGTTCCTAACATTTTGTACGACTTATTAGAAATAAAATCCTCCACTGTGAAAATACTCCACAACATATTACCCGAGGGGTATTGAAGAGTGCGCTCGGGACATTGAGGTGGTGCACCATCCTGCTGAAAAAAAACCCAAAAAAACCCAACTTTGTTCATGTCAAAACACCTTCGCCTCCTTAATGCCGTAATGAAGCTTCTGTGAAGCTTTTTAATGTATCGGTGTACATTCCATGTCAACCAATGACCATTATCATCTTCAAAAATGTATACGCCCAAAATACCATTCTTTCCAAGTGCACACCATACCGTCATTTTTTCTACACTCAGAGGTTTTTCAACATGTTCATGAAGTTGTTCACGGGCCCAAAACCTAAAGTTTTGCTTATTCACATGTCCCCTCAAATGGAAGCGCGCCTCGTCGCTGAAGAGAAGACAGTCCACCACAAATTGAGGGTCGTTCTCAATACGCTCGCTTATCGTCTGGCCAAACTCGTGGCGTTCAGTTTTGTTGGTTTGAGTTTGCGCTTGAAGAATCTGCACTATATAGGGAAACAGTTTCAGATCACTGTGGATAATTCGGCGCACAGATCTTCTGGAAATACCCACTTGCTGTGACAGCTGTTTGGTGGAGTTACGGGGAGACTGTTCCAATTGATCCCTGATGTCTTGAACATAAGCCGGCGTCCTCACTGTGAACTTTGGGCCATAATGGTCTTTGTTATTGTTCACCACACTTACAGTGTTTCTTAACTTTTCTACCAAACGTGTGATTTTATGGCGATGGTAAATTTTCCTTCTCGGATATTCGCGTCGAAATTGCCTCTGAACACGTGGAGATGACTTTGTTGCAAAATACAATTCCATAATCTTTATCCTCTCTTCAGCCGAAAACTGCTTGTAGTGTTCCAGTGGTCCATCTTGGCATCAGACAAAGCCTACAGGTATGCTATGCAACTCACCTGAAAAAGAAAAAGAAACAATTATTTCTTTAAAAAATATGAGCCTCTACTTTTGTCCCACTTTTTGTACCCGTATATATATATAGTCATCCACATACAGGCCTGTTTCGCTGCATCACAGCTCATCATTGTGGCTAGACATCCGGTTGCTTCAAGCTGGGATCGAAAACCTACCGATTTGGTATCAGTCGGAGATCCTACCCCTAAGCTATCGACACACGTCAGAGAGGGTGGAAAATTCTAATGTATTGTATACGAATGCAAACAAACCCCAGCAGCCAACAGCGCTCAATTCATTAATGAAGAGCGGTGCGTTAATAGCGGTGGCTGCCACTGCTTTGGAATTACATTCCGCTCAGTTCTTGATAGAATATATATATATATATATATATATAATATTATTATTATTATTATTATTATTAAATATAACAGACAACGAATATCTATTATGTCTGATTATGAGCCGTTCTAATGTTCGTATGTCTGCTTTAATTTCTGGTGAAAATAAAGACAAAAATTGTCCAACATTTGGATATTTTTTTATTAAGTTGGTCCTAAGCGTTCGGGTCACATGAACCATTCTCAGAGTCGTTATACAGACATGAAACAAATATATCAACCGTCAAAGATAATATTTTATTTTGACATAGAAGATTGCTATGCAACGATAACGTAGATAAGTTCAAGATGCGATTCTACGATGTCATACCACGCGATAGCCCGAAGTATTACAAAGAATCAATGTCTAGATGCAATGCAATGTGTTATGACTAGTTTGAAATATAATTTTGTTGAGTTTTGGTTGCTTCGTTTTAATGTAGATGGCCTCCAATATCTGAAGGTTCTTTTTATTGGGTGTAACCAATGAAGAAAGTTTTAAAGAAAATGTATACAAAAATGACACGTACTTAAAATCGAAGGAAACAGTTGAAATTCCTAGGATACATAATGAGGAGGGGGGGGGCTTTGAAAATTTGACACTTACGGGACATATCACATATCACCAAGTTTATGTCAATGAATGGCAGAACAGGGTGGGGAAAGGTTAGTGTAAAAGACGAACATTGCTAATAGATAAAAGGATAGAAGTTGTGAAGGGCCATTTTCGCCGACGTCCATAGAAAATGTACTTGTTTGTTCGTTTCTTCTACTAAAATGTGTGGATTTTCAATGTAAAAGTGATCTTGAAAAATATGTAACTGTGGATAAAGAGGGATTACTCTATTCACCCATAAACCTCTCAACAAAAGTCACAAAATAGCAGTATGTAAAGGTAATAGTCGGTGGCACAAAAGACAAAAGAATTAATTGTCTGAAAAAAATTAACCATTTATAAAAAAATTATTCTTAAATTTGAAACTAGTGAAGCGTAATTTCGACCTCGTCGGGTAAATCCTTGTAGACATGATGGCATCCTCTCGAAATATCCAGGTAATTTAAACATCTAATGGGAAGTTTAAGCTTTAGAGATTTAAACCGATGGGGAGATAATAAAACTATGTTAAGATCTTTGTGCGTGGAGATTAAGTGAATAACATCTGGTGGACTCTCCCGTCGTATTCGGCGTATGAGGGTCAAACAGGTCAGTTCCTAGGAGCTGACAGTCAGACACCAGCACATATGATTTGATTATAGTGGTGTAGGCTTTGTGCAGAATCAACCAGACTTTTTGCCAGACTTTGAATTCAGAGTTTTCCTTCTCCTAGACAAGTTGCCATGCAAGGCTATAGTCTGTCCTGTTATATACCCATAGCTGGAGGGGGAAGAACAGGATTAATACCTTTACCAAGGGTATTAGCAAGTAAGTGAATGTAATGGATTCGACTGGAATTGCTCAATCCAAGCCGCTACCCATTACTCCACTGTGTCTCCCCATGAATAATATCTATCTTCTGACTAATATATCTACTCCTGCGCTTTTGTTAAACAAAGAGTTGCAGATAAGATGAAGTGGATTATGTAACGGATGAGTGCCGCGAAATGCAATGAAATCGATGTGGAAAGTGATGCTCAAAAAGGCGCAAAATGGAATATTAGCGGGACTTTAAATGATTCGACGGCCACCTCCGTAGAGGAACTGACACTTCACGCTTCGTTTCTTAAATGTGCAGCTGTCTACGTAGGCGCCAATCAGTGTCCGTTCATCTTTAGCCTGTAGCTTTTCTTTTTCCTCTTCTAGCCTAACGTCCGCTTTTAATGACCAGTTGTTCGGTATTCATTTCCTTTCTTTTTCTCTGATAATTTTTCTTTCTTTATTACATTCATTCATTCTTTATTTATTTTTATGTATCCATTCTTCTTTATCTTTTCAAATATTTGTTTCTATCTTTACGAAATTATGCCAGTATTTATTTTTTCTTTCTTGCTCGTGAGTTTCTTTACAATATTTTCCCAGCATTTTCTTCTTTCATTCATTCTTTCTTTCTTTCTTTCTTTTCATATTGTTAGAATTCATTTTCTTTCTTTCTTTTTTTCTTTCTTTCTTTCTTTTTTCTTTCTTTCTTTCTTTTTATATTGTTCCAGAATTCATTTTCTTTCTTTCTTTCTTTCTTTCTTTCTTTCTTTCTTTCTTTTTATATTGTTCCAGAATTCATTTTCTTTCTTTCTTTCTTTCTTTCTTTCTTTCTTTCTTTCTTTCTTTCTATATTGTTCCAGAATTCATCTACTTTCTTTCCTTTTTCTTTCTTTCTTTCTTTCTTTCTTTCTTTCTTTCTTTTTATATTGTTCCAGAATTCATTTTCTTTCTTTCTTTCTTTCTTTCTTTCTTTCTTTCTTTCTTTCTATATTGTTCCAGAATTCATCTACTTTCTTTCCTTTTTCTTTCTTTCTTTCTTTCTTTCTTTCTTTCTTTCTTTCTTTCTTTCTTTCTTTTTATATTGTTCCAGAATTCATATTCTTTCTTTCTTTCTTTCTTTCTTTCTTTCTTTCTTTCTTTCTTTCTTTTTCTAGAATTCATCTTCTTTCTTTCTTTCTTTATTTCTTTCTTTCTTTCTTTCTTTCTTTCTTTCTTTCTTTCTTTCACATGTGCTTTCTCTTCGTATCTTTCAACTCCATTTTGGCCATTGCTCTATGAATGCATAAATCTTACATGTGCCAGACATCTGCTGTAGGATGAAACTCGAAGACCTTGACTGGTGTTAGAATGTCCTTTTGTAACGTACTATTAAATCCTTTCCAAGTTTAAGTTGAATTCAAGAAATCTTTTCAAAATTATAAATATATGTATGTACATATGATCGAATCTGCAGGCGTGTGTGTGCATTTTTATGCTTTAAAAACAAACTATATACAAATTTCTTTACATGGAATAAATTGAAAATATTAAAAATAAAAACATCCTTACTTTCAGTCACCCTGAAATGTGGGTATGTATATGGGAGGGGGCAAGGACGTAAAATGTACACACGCATACACACACACAGATATATATATATATATATATATATATATATATATATATATATAAATATATATATATATGCATACACATACAGGGTGTCCGCAAAATTTGACACCATTTCACAGGCCAATAATTTTGGCAATTCTTGTTGAAATAACTTAAATTTTTCACAGAATATATAGGAAGAGATCAAGATTTTATATTTAATGTTTTAGTTTTGTTATCTCAATGAGAACCAGACAGAGAGACGTATCGGGCGTGGTGGAAATGAAGACAGTTCAGTTTTCTAATGAAATGGCCGCCGCGGTCACCGGACCTGTCTCCGTGTGATTTCTTTTTATGGGATATATGAAGGGACTGGTCTATGTTCCCCGTCTTCCTGCTATCATTGATGAACTCAAGCAGAGAATCACTTCCGCACTGGATAATGTTACCGGAGTCATGCTACAGCATGTTTGACAAGAGCTTAACTACCGACTTGACGTGCACCGTGTCACATACTGAACACTTATGAAATCGGTCTCATAATAAACTTATGATGTTCATCACCTATAGTGTTCAATTTCATTGAGCTAGACTTAGTAGTTTTCACGATAATTGCTTTTAACATGATGTCAATTTTTTGGGGGGACACCCTGTAGATAGATAGATAGATAGATAGATAGATAGATAGATAGATAGATAGAAGGAGTTAGTGCAGGGATGTTCACAGCCAAGTCTACAGTTAGACTTAAGAACTTTGCAAATACCTTATTTCAGATGAAAGTTTTTCAGCGTACCATCTCGTATATACAGGACGGGATGGTTAAACTGCCGCCATTTTATCTTTTTAATTTCACGCATTTCACCTCACAGTATAGTAGGATCATTTGGACACTGTGAGAAAAAAGCAGCATGACACAATGCTCTCTGCCAGAAATATGAAAACGGCATGCTGTACTGTTTGGTATACTCCAATACGAACATTTCACTTTGATGTCAATCTTAGGACTGTGTAGAGAATTCAGAAAGAGTTGACTGAATCTAATGATGAATACGGATGTACGACAGCTTGGAAAACTCACTCTGATCGTTATGATAAGAAAAGAACTTATGAATTTTTTGGTAGGGGTCTCAGACTCAACACAGAGGCCTACATCAAGTGTCTTGAGGAGGTAATGCTGCCCTAGGTCAAGAGGGTGGCTGTTATGTCTAGTAACAGGACTCTGCACCATGCCACACAAGCATGAGAACCCAGTCATGTCTGTCAGACAATTTCTGCGATCTCATCACTCCTGTCGCACCTACCATTGTTGGATTAGTTTCTTTGTTTAGAGTAACTTGTTAAAGCTGATAAAATCCTTAATTTCTCAGATTTGATGCCTGTTAGTAACATAAAATCTTAATAGACCTTTTCTAGATACACGCCAGAAATTTTGCTAACAGAAAAGATAATTTTTAATTATCCAATTAATTTTCTCTTAGAACGAATTCTATCGCCCGGTTCTTACCCCTTTCCATGTCTTGGACAGAAGTAAAGGTTCATTCCTTGTTGCTTTAACTGTCTTAACTTCTTGGTGATCAAACTAAATAATAGATGTGACTTAACATTATGAGGGTACCGGGTGGGCAGTTTGCTAGCTGCTACTTCCGAATGACCGTTAGGAGCCCAAACTCTTTGTTTGGGCTTAGAGAGGCTACTCTGATCAATAGTCGCATAATATCGGTGTATCTATAGCGCTGTGTCGCTCATAGGTTGGTGTCTCAGCATGTATTTCCGGCGAGGAACCCTGAGGCCACATTATGCTCTGCTCTCAGCCACGCACTGGCTGGTTTGTATTGCTATTGACGACAGATCGTGACAATTATGGTGGTCTTTTTCCTCTCTCCTCAAAGCATATCTCATGGAAATCAAAGCAAAAAGAAATAAAACTAAATCAGCTAACAAAAAACACCTACACTTCTTAATTTTTCTTTCTCCAATATTCACGGTATCCATTCCAACTTTTGCAGCATACAATCCTTCATCCTGGAACGGTCGCCGGATATCTTTGCCATTTGTGAAACCAACTTGAATTCTTCCATTGCTACTAATTAATTCTTGGTTCCAGGGCATCTTCCTCTTTGCCGAAAAGATTCCAGCATTCACATGCATGGCTTTGGTGTTTACATCCGGGATAATCTTCCGATGGCCAGGGAATTGTCTCTCTGGAACCCAGATTACTCCTTGATGTGCTTCCGTCTTTCGTTACTAAACTCTTTCTTTTATCTCTCCCCTCTTCCCAGGACTGCAGTATACTAGACATAATTGCTGACAGTATAGAAAATGCACTTTTTCCACCCTCCATCTGCGAACATCTTTGTCTTTAGTGACTTTAATGATCAATACATGTGGGTTAAACATTCTAAAGGTACTCATGTTACCAGCATACAGACATTAGATTTTTCCATTGCCCAACCCCTCAATCAAATAGTGGACTTCCCTATTCGTTTCCATAGCCAAGCTGAGGAACAGGCATCTCTACTGAATCTATTACTTACCTCCTCTCCTTGCCCTTGCCGAGCTTCGCAATACTGCCCTCTTGGTAAGTCAAACCACTCTATGTTAGCTAATGAGATCTCCTTTCAAGCATCCATTAAACAGGAAGCCCCTCTCAGCAAGACCTCTTTCCGTTACCAGCTTGCTGATTGGGACTCATTCCGGAATTTTCTTCGTGACGACACTTATACTGACATCTTTAATTTCCCAATTAAAAATTGCGTCACTGAGGTTTCTTCTTGGGTCAAAGCCGACATGGACGTTTTCATCTCCTCTCAAAAATACGAGGTGAAACCGCAATCCTCTCTACTGTTCACACCAGAATGCTCGGCATACTGGAACGACTATTTCCGACTATACCAGCGTTTCAGCTCTCGTCACAACAGGGTTTTTTTTTTGCTACTGTTCGTAACAAATGTAAATGAGTCCACGAAGGAGCCAAAGCCCTGTTTGCTGAGACAATATAAGCACCGCATAGCCTAAAAAAACTTTGGTTCTCGTGATTACTTGCGTCTCTGTAATTGGGTACGAAAAAAGTGAAAGCTCTCTATTCACCCCGTCTTCAATGGATTTGTGATGTTATCATCCTCTGCTGATAAAGCTGAATGCTTTGCAAGTAAATTCTCCTCAAGCTCTACTCTTGACCCTTCTGGAGTATCCCTGCCTAACTTCCCACTTAGAACTGATTCTCTGTTGAGTGATATGCATATAATACCTTCCATGATTTTTGCTATCAACTCTAACCTGGATCCCCACAAAGCATGTGGACTCAATGGTATCCCTGTAATAGTCATTAAGATCAGTACTCCCAAACTGGCTCCTGTTCTCTCTAAACTGTATAATAAATGCCTCGCTGTCTCCTGCTTTCCTACCTGTTGGAAATCTTCATTTGTTGTTCCAGTTCTTAAGAATTCTGGGGAACCGTCCGACCCATCCAACTATCGGCCTATTAGCCTTTTACCTCTTTTGGGGAAACTCCTAGAGACCTTAATCAATTGGTTCATCATCCTTCATTACAGGGCATTTTCTCAGACAAACAATACGGCTTTCGATTTTCTAGATCAACTGCTGATGTACTAACGATAATTGCGGAAAGAGTTTATCATGCTCTAGATAAAAATGGTGAAGCTATAACATTGGATATCTTGAAAGCATTTGACAGAGAGTCTGGCATTCAGTTGCGGTATCTCCGGGCACATCCAGTCTTTGCCATCAAATCATGAAATGAAAGATGTCATGAATGTCCACTCATCTACATCCTTTCGTACTAAAACGGGTGTCCTCCAGGGCCCCATCCTTGGTCTTACGCTGTTTTTAATCTTCATTAACGACCTTCCCGATGACATCAACTCTCAACTTGACATCTGTGTTGAAGACTCTACAATTTTCTCCTTCCTCGATAGTATGGTTGATTGATCTGAAAAGGTCAAAATGACAGCTGGTGTACAAAACGACTTCAAGACCGCCGTTAACTGGGGCAAAAGATGGCTTGTCATTTTTAACGCCTCCAAAACTAAACTTCTCTCCATTAATCATTTGAGAGACCCCCTCTCTGTCTTCCATCAGGATGGCTGATGCTATCCTTCAAGAAAGTGACTGCGCCTTCTTGAGCTAATCTCCTCAGCTGACATGAGGTAGAAAGACTACAGTGAATCCATCGCTAGATCAGCTGATAAGAAAGTCGGTTTACTGAGCCGGGCGAGATAATTTTTTCTTTCCGGAATCTATCTTGCATATCTATAAGTCTACTATTCGTCCATGATAAGAATATTGCTGCCATATATGGTCTAGGACCCCTGTTTTTACCAGGATCTTCTTGATAAGATCCAAAGAATAATCTCCGTGTTTTTTTTTAATAAATACTTTCATAGGAATTGTTCGGATGAGCTCTTCTTTGTGGTACCTAGGCTGTATGAATTTAAGCGCAATGCTAGACTAGCTGCGAGATCTCATTAATTTAGAGTTGATCAAGTTAGGTATTCTATGCTGAAAGTTTCTTATCGCAAACTTCTGGAACACCCTCTCGGCTCCATGTTTTTCAACCAAATGCAAAAATTTAAATACAATGTCAATCATCATCTACAGTCTTCCTGATTGCTCTTTTTTCTTTCTACTCATTACTAAAGTTTCTGTTCCTAATTTCTCTATACCATGTAAGACTTTTCGAGTTAATGGCTGTACTGGCTTTCTTGGGGTGATAACGATTTATATATATATATATATATATATATATATATATATATATATACGATCAGCAATGCCCGGCGTTGCCCATGCTTTATTCAAAAAATCGTACGACTCATACAGCAATCGCTATCACTTGACTTAAAATATTTTTGCCCTTCCTTGCCTTTAAAAGGAGTGCCCTTTGCCGTGTTGATGTTGCTACATGCCTTACTTCTTGCCTATATCACACTGCGAATTTTTTCTAAGCTCTATACTAAACATTAAATCTGTTACGAAAATAGAACTAAACAAAATGAACACAAAACTATCAGCTTTAAAAAAAGGACTCGTAACTGGAAAAACTGAATGAAAAAAGAATGTTAACAACAAATACTTTTTCACACCCAACCCAGTTCTGCGGAATCAATGTTGAGTTTAAGCAAGCGAATGAGCCAATTGGAGTAAAGTGCCATACAGATCTAAATTTTTCCCACTTGAGACGAATGCAGCTATCGATTTTTTTTTTACATGCTAGTTAACATTCGTGTCAGTCAGCTGTTGGTTTTCACGCTGGCCAATAGAATCTTCCTGCCTATTTGTGGCAGCCAGCTATAGGCTCTCACTCTGGCCAGTACAAAATGGCCGCAAACTACATGAAAACTGCCGTAGAAGCATGAAAAAATCTATTATTTCCGCTATCGATGGGAGTTGGGAAATGCAAAGTGGTTCTTGGCTTTCCCGCTAACTTGTAGCATGTGCATGTAAATTTTGGTGCAAATCTGTCGAAAATTGTGGCCGTGCATTCGTTACACACACACACACACACACACACACACACACACACACACACACACACACACACACACACACACACACACACACACACACACACATCCTGTCTTATATATATATATATATATATATAATAAATCCTAATGAGCCAGGTACTACCTACCTAGGTTTCACCACATGGGATCGTCAGGGTCAACTAGCCGGTTCACCATGATTTTCCCATGTGGTGAGACCTAGGTAGATAGTATCTGGC